GGATAGGTGGGTAGATCAATATGTGGATGGTTGGATGGATGGATGGATGGATGGATGGATGGATGGATGGATAGGTGGGTAGATCAATATGTGGATGGTTGGATAGTTGGATGGATAGATGAATAAATGAGTGGGTGGATAGATGAATACATGGATAGATGGATAGATAAATGTATGTATGGATAGATGGATGGATGGATGGATGGATGGATGGATGGATAGATGGATAGATGGATTTGGCTTGTCCTTTCTAAATTATTTCAACTATTTAAACTGTCTCTGTTGTCTTTCTTTTTTTTTTTTTTTTTGGACAATTTTTGGCCTCAAACTGCCTAGACATCTCTTTCTGTACTGAAAAAGTCTTTGTTTTCACTTTAGAAAAATCGGTGGATACACATGTAAGACTAATTAAGCTCAGTGTAATTGTTGAAAATTCCAAATGGTCATCTATAAAGATATTCATCAGATGGGTGGTTCTCGAGCTGCTTCAGGGCTTTGGGGAAATGGATTTGTGAAGTTGTGCTTGTCCACGTGAAGAAGCTGAGGCAGAAGAAGGGTGCTTCCTGCACATGCATTTCCCTCCCCTGCCCAGGAGGTGGTCAACTTTAGGGCCACCGGATTTACATTCACATCCAGCAAGCAGCTCAGAGATCCAGCTTGGGTGGGTGAGAGGACAGGGACAGCAGCAGGCTACCGTGCACCCCCCCCCCCCCCCCCCCCACTTGACATGTGCCTGCTCCAACCTGACCTCTTTTTCGTTGAGAAAAAAAAAAAGCCTGTGGGAGCTGAACCTGAACCATGCAGCAATCTGGCCCATTGCTTTCGTGAGCCGTTAGTCTCCCCCCACGGTTTGTTGGGCCCCAGGCTTACCCAGCCAACTGTCCTGGGGGACCGAGATGCTGTTTGGGGTGTGTGGGTGTGTGTGTGAGTGAGTGGAAGAGGGGGTACTGGAACCTCTCACCTGAGAGGCAGGTAGGTGGTGTACCTGGCAGGTAGGGCCTGGGAGAACTGAAGTCCAGTTTGGCCTCTGACACTTACTGGCTGTATGACCCTGTCACTTTTGTTGTAGCTCAGTTGTTTCAGTTGTGTCTAATTCTTTGTGACCCCATTTGGGGTTTTCTTGGCAGAGATACTAGAGTGGTTTTCCATTTCCTTTTCCAGCTCATTTTACAGATGAGAAAGTTGAGGCAATTAGGGTTAGGGTTGTTGAGAGGATCACAGGGTTGTTGAGAGGATCAAACAAGATAATATTTGTGAAATGCCTTGCAAACCTTAAAGTCACTTTTAGCTTAAGGCCAGCTGTGCCTGTGCCCCTCACTGCCCTCTAAAAAGTCATCCCCCTGTCGTTTAAAGGCCTTCTCTCTGTTGAACCTCAAACCCAAGCTTACCCCGTTGGGAGAGACAGCACTTGAATGCACAAAGACTTTGGGGATGCGGCAGGTGGTGGGAGTGAAGGGGAGGAGACAGACTGAGCTGTGAGGGAGGGCACCGACTGGATGCGTGGACAGAGGAGTCCCAGGACGAGACCCACTCATGGGCTCGAGCCTGGGAGCCCCTGGAATGCTGGCACCGAATAGGCACAGAAACAGGAACAGAAGACCAAGAACCCAATGTAAAAAAAAAGATAAGACAATTTCCACTTGAAAGCGCTCGACTTATTTTTTCAACTTCAATCTCATTTCGGTGATGTTGCCTTTTTTCTTTCTGTTTGCTCCTGTCAGGATGAATGAGGAGGGAGGATGCCATTCCAGGAAGATCTAGGGCACCTGCCATTTCTTAACCCCATTTGGCTTTCACAGTTTGCAAACGGACCCAGAAATCTGAGGACTTTGGTGGTTTTTCTCCTTGCTCGTTCTACCACGAACATGTGGGCTTTGTCTGTATGCTACCAGCAAAGCAAGTCAAAAAATTCGGCACCCAGTAGTATCTTTCTAGCTTTAGTGCTCCACAGCCAAGTTGGAGTGATTCCTATCTCACCACCTCATTCTTTTTTAAGTTAGATTTCACTTTTTTCTCCACCCACCCCCACTGAAAATGAAAACAAGCAAAATAAATTCCCGAATTGGCCGTGTCCCCAAATACATGTCTCTGTCCAGGCCCTGAGACCATTCCCTCTCTGTCCAGAGGTGGGCCATATGTTTCATCCTGGGTCTTCCAGGATTGTTGGAGGCTATTGAGTTGGTCAGAGTTCTGAAGTCCTTCAAAACTGCTTGTTTTCACAATGTTATTGTTGTCTCATGATATTCTCTTGGTTCTGACCACTTCACTCTGCATCAGTTCCTAGAGGCCTTCCCAAGTTCCTGTGAAACCATCCCCTACATAATTTCTTATAGCACAATAGTATTCTATCACATTCATAGACCATGGCTTGTTCAGCCATTCCCAAATCGAGGGGCATCCCCTCAGTTTCCAATTCTTGGCCACCACAAAGATTGGCTATCCATATTTTTGTATCTATGAATCTGTGTGAATAAGGAGTTCTTACCCCAGTGGCTCAGGGAAAACCCAAGATATTTTAGTTGTTACAACTGAAATAATAATTGATTATCATTGCAACTGTACAACATTTGTTCTTTTTCCTGAAAAGTATTAAATGATGGCAAAATGAAAAATATTTAACTTCTTATGTTACCTGATTCCAACCCACCTGTGATAATAGTACCAAGAAAATTCTTTCTTAAGCACTGATTTAAAACCAGTTTCAGAGTTTTTAAAAAAACCTCTGAGGATACCCAAATATTCATACCAGCACTCTTTGTGATAACAAAGAACTGGAAATAAAGTAAGTACCCGTCAACTGCAGAACTCTCGTATAGGAATGTAACAGAATATTCTTGTGTAGTATTAAATAGCGCGTGTGAGGAATTTAAAGAAATATGGGAAGATTTTTAAGCTGAGCCAAGAGAACAATATATATTGTGACTGACAACCACGTGAATGGAAAGATCATGAAAAGGGAGTGAACTCTGAGCAATGGAAAATGCAGTGAAGGGGGCCAGGAGAAGAGAGAACGAAGAGAGGCGGTGGAGAGGCGGCGATTCCTCGGACGGAGTGTCGCGTCGGTCAGGCAAAGGGCTCTGCTGCCTCTGGCGCCTTGATTGTTTTTCTTTGTCACGAGGAACGGTTTAATCTTATAGGGAATGAGCGATATGAAAACAAAAGGCATCGATAACATGTATTTTAAAAAAAGAAATTCAGAGACTCTTCTGTGCTTCTTGCTCGGCATTTCCTTTTTCAGAATATAACGCAGATGTTTAAGTAAAACAAACCGTGCGGGCTTCTGAAATTGCCCACCGTGAACAATACACTGTACTCGGATCAGAGATTGAGATGTCTCCTGTAAGAACCAGACACAATGCTGAACGTTTGGCCTGTTTGCTTTTTCCATTTTTCCTTGGACATATTCGCGTTTCCTCAACATCTTCAGTTCACATTCTCTGTCTTTGGAAGCTGCTTCTTTTCAGGGTTCCTTCATGCATCTCTCCCTTATTAAAAGAACATTCTGAATCCTGTGATTGATTCTAGACTCTTAGAAGGACCACAATCTCACCAAAGAAACCCTGTTTATCTCCTTTATTCTCATCAATTACTTTGTAAATAAAAAAATGTAAAAAATGATACTTGTACAATCATCCCCTAGAATCCCGAGGACCTTATTACACAGTAATGGGCACCTATGAGCACAGTCTCAAGAATGTAAAGGAAGGCTGTCCCAATGCATAGATAGGTCGAGCCCAACAGAGCCATTTGGCACCAGAGTGATGTTCCAAACTCAGCATT